ATTTGTTAGTCTCTAAGGTGCCACAAGTACTCCTGTTCTTCTTTTTGCGGATACAGACTAACACGGCTGCTACTCTGAAACCTTTGGTTGCCTAGTGTCCTCATTCTTCGCTATGAGTCAAGCTCATAGGTTAGACTACATTTCCCGTGATGCACCATGGCCAGGGTCTCCCAGGATGCAACAATGTCCCCTCACCAAGAGGGCAGATGATGTTGCATCATGGGAGTTGGAGTCAGACCAAGGAGACTGGTGTTCAAAGGAGAATGGCAACATGAAGCATTAAAACTACAAACCACATTAGGCACCACGGCAACATTTCCAAATTGAAATCTTTGGTTTTTTTCAAAATATTTTGGTACTGTATTTGAATTGCTGCTGAAAAAAATAAATAAAAAATGCCTATGGAAAATTTAGACAAAAACAGGTTTTTTCATAAAAACTTAACTGTTGTCATCACAGTTTGAGAAAACGTTAGCCTATCAGTGTGTGACCTACTCCCAGGTCAAGAAGAGGTCAACCTCATCTCAGCTACCCCCCTTCACTATGCAAAGGTGCTCAGAGGAACGGTCCTGAGAACTGCTGAATGGGAGGCAGTCTTTGGGAAGATCAGATTCTACACCAGCATCACAGCAGTGAGCTGACCCCAGACAAGGAGTTTTTGTTGCCTGGATTCATTTATTTTGCTGTCTGGCTAGAAACATTGTCCCTGGAGGGATGTCCACAGCTGTAGCTTTTGGGGAGGGGAGTTTGCAGCATCATGATTCCATGGCTGGTTCTGTGCTAGCCCCAGCAGCTGCTCTAAAACATTGAGGCTGGTGATGACCCCGAAGGAGTTGCCACCTGTCAGGTATTGTTGGATCACAAGGGACTCTGGCCATGCCATAGGCTGCTGACTTATGAGAAGAGGCTGAGGGAACTGGGCTTGTTTAGTCTGCAGAAGAGAAGAGTGAGGGGGGATTTGATAGCAGCCTTCAACTCCCTGAAGGGGGGTTCCAAAGAGGATGGAGCTCGGCTGTTCTCAGTGGTGGTAGATGACAGAACAAGGAGCAATGGTCTCAAGTTGCAGTGCGGGAGGTCTAGGTTGGATATTAGGAAACACTATTTCACTAGGAGGGTGGTGAAGCACTGGAATAGGTTCTAGGGAGGTAGTGGAATTTCCATCCTTAGAGGTTTTTAAGGCCCGGCTTGACAAAGCCCTGGCTGGGATGATTTAGTCGGGGATTGGTCCTGCTTTGAGCAGGGGGTTGGACTATATGACCTCCTGAGGTCTCTTCTAACCCTGATATTCTATGATTCTCTGCCCTCAATACATCCCCTCCACCAAGGGAACAAGAGCTGGCTGTGCCAGGTGGGGATTCCATGCCAAGGGAATTCTCTGCTGGAGAGATCCAGTGACTTTCAGGGGCACAAAAGGGTGGGATTGCAGCTCAGGATCTGGCCCAGTTACAGTTTCCTGGGTCCCCCACCCCCACCTGGGAAGATGAAATGCAGCCCCACAGAAATTAAAACGCTGACGATGAAGGTTAACGCGGTGGCAGTGAAAACTGGGATTACTTCCCCCTCCCATTAAAAAAAGATTCAGTAACTTGGATCATGGTGTCAGCAGCCCGGTTAGGAATCAAGGTAAAAAGGGCCAGAAAACAGAGCTATTTCCTCTCCCAAGAATGTCAACAAAAATCTATCAACCACCAAAATATTTTGATTCAACATGGAACCATAGTGCCTCATTGGAGTTGTAGTTTGGGTGCCTTATACTTTCCTTTATGGGCCATGGTCACTGGCAGGACTATATCTCCTATGAGGGGATGTGTCACAAGCACCCTTGCCCATGGTGCATCATGGGAGGTGTAGTCCATCTAGAGAACATGGCCCATAAGGGAAAATGTGAATACATGGCAGCTGAACTACAACTGCCATGAGGTATCACGGCACCACTTTGAATCTAAATAGATTGGTTTTCAGGTGTTCGGTGTTTTGGAAAAATAGCAACATTTTCTGGAGAATGCAGGTGCTTTCTGATAACATTCTCATGGAGTTGAAACCCCAATTTCCCATTAAAAAACCCCCAGTTTGACAGACTTGTCAACCAGCCCTAAATCAGGACCTGTCACTTTCCCCCATCACTGCCTTCCTCATACACATTCAGGCCCTTCCCCAGGGACACTCCTCCCATCAGGGAGGGCGCTTCGCAGAGGCGTACATCTCCCCCTCCTTTCAACACATGCTCTGATTCACGTCCCGTTTGAGAGCTGAAAGACTCACGGTGTTGGGAGTATAGCAGATGGCTTGGGATGCAAAGTACGAGGTTGAGACAGCGATGGAGAACTCCAGGATGGACAACAAGAGCAGCATGACTGTGATCCCCTTCCCAGCATTCTGGGGAGCATAAAACCACAGGGGATGCTAATTAATTTTGACTGCTAGCAGTGTAACATTGCACAGGGCTGCCGTGAGGTACATAAAAAATCCCTCTTTTCCCACTTCTGGGGATGCAGAAATCCGGTCCTGGTTCTTCCCTCCTTCCAGGCACACAGAATTCTCCTTCTCCTTCTAACTACTCAGTAGACCCGGTAATTGTGATGCATGGAGTCACACAACTGTCAGGAGACCATAGAATTCTGTTTTCTCCTGGGTCTACAGGGATATGTGCCCCTGAGACGCTCCCTGGGTAGGCCAGCCAGGATTCTGTAGCATGGAGGCAGTGTTGTCTAGTGCATAGAGCACTGAACTAGGATTGAGAAAAGCTGGGCCTGCTGGGTGACATTGGGCATATCACTTCATCTCCCTGTGCCTCAGTTTCACCATCTCTACGTAGCGAGGATTAAACAAAGTAAAACAGGTATTTGGGTCCAATGCTGCTCCCGATGAAGTCAACAGGAGTTATTATTATTAATAATTTGTATGTTAGTGGCTGGAAACCCCAGTCATGGACTAGGACCCTACTGTGCTAGGTGCTGCAGAAAACACAGAACAAAAGCATGGTCCTTGCCTGGTTTTTGACATTGACAGGAGTTTTGACACTGGCTTTATCAAGAGCAGAACCAAGCACATTAAGAGCAAATTTTGGTCAATTTTCCTCCAGTTCAAAGGTCTGGAGCAGAACACATAGGCAGTTTCTACAGTGGAGTCAAGGACTTAGGGCAATTCCAGGTACCTGGTATTTTAAAAACTCACCTGTTAGGGATGGTCCAGGTAGACTTAACACAGCCTCAGCACAGGGTGATGGACTGGATGACCTCTTGAGGTCCCTTCCAGCCTTATACTTCTATAATTCTATGGCAGAATCTGGCCACTTACCAACCAATGGTATTCCTCATCCTTGTGGTCATAATGTGATGCATTAAAAATCAGCTCCGTTAGAAAGAGAATGATCCCAATGGCTGAGAAGAGGGCGCTAGTCCTGTTCACTCCCCGGCTGCTTCTCACCTGAGAGAGATGTGCAGAGGGTCAGGTTGTGTGTAGGCAGAAAACAGGTTTGGTTATCATAGAA